TCACTTTGTCGCCGACGTTGAACAGAGCGGTCGTTGTGTTTCTCTGGCCGTCCACTGTTGACAAAGACCTGGCGATCGCTATACGATTGAAGCCTTCGATTGGTTGTCCCAATACAGGCAAATGGTTGCGATAATAGAAAGGTCCGGCGGAGTCCACCACATACTTCAGATCCACTTTCCCTTTGTGGCCAACTCTGTACACATTAGTAGAGCCCGACGCCCACATCACGTTCGCCACACTTCTTCGCGACTCATTATCCCAACCCCTGATGTCTATCACTTTACCCACTTTTCCTTCACCGCCTGACAAATCAAATGTCATTAATTAGTGTATAATAATTGCCAAAACTGTTAGTCCGAAGAGTCATACCGTCCTGATTAGCCCAATCCCAGTCATAACCTCTGACGACACGCGTCCCGACAAATATACCCCGCGATTGAATCTTAACGTTATTTTTTGAGTTTCTTTTACTCATTTCGACTCTAATTATATGAAACAAAAGATTAATTAAAACATTGAAACGAGTGTTAAATGTATGGTTTGAGACAAACCCGGGAGAGGTATAGGTTTCGAAGCGAGCGAACGTATGGTTCACATCGTGTTTGTCATTCATATAGCAAAGAGTGCAGAGATCGACGCTCTGACAGACCAAACACTTCCACCGGATGCCAGCGATGCCGTGCTTTTTACAGGCGTTGCAAATAATGTTATAGTGTCTGAAACCGATGGTCGCGTTGTCCAACACTCGCAGATCGTAAGCGTTTTGGTAACCAATCCTATAGTTAGTGCGCGAACCGGAGTCCCACTGAACCACTACTGTCTTGTCGGGAGTGGTGGTGGATCCGGGCCGACCCACCTCGACCACTGTCCCGCAGTGACCCTCACCATCATCTGATCCAAACAATACACATATAGGTTAGCGAGTGAGTGGACACATCTAATGAGGTTATGCTAATGGATACAAACCCTGGTTAGACCACTTCCAGTCGGGTCCCCGAACCACACGAAGACCGACATTGACTTCCATGTGTGCGAAAGAGTGGGACAAATGGTTTGACAAATTCACTGCTCATTCAATGCAAACAAAACCAAAAAACAGTTTTCGTTGTCAATAGTGGTAACCATTGAATACATAATTCAATTGTCTATTGATTTGCACAATAAAATTGAATGCATTTCACAAAACAGTGTTTCATATAAAAAGTCATAACAATTAACCACTAATTGAGACACAAATTAAGCCATAAATTACAAAACCAATCGATTATTGACACTATTTTTGACTCAAATTTGTTTTGTTTTAATAAACACTGAATTCAAGGATGACTTGGATTTGCATTTCGTTTTGGTTTTTGGTTTGCCTTTCAGTCAATACAACACAACTCCATCTACTCTACACATACTTACAGTCAAACCTCACTATTATTACACATGCCTTTTGTTTCGTATTGATTTATAACAATTAATAATATAATTAAAATAATTATGGTAAAATTCAGTTAAGTGTTTGACTTAATTGTACGGTAAGTATATTTAACTGAATAAATGTTTGAATGATAAATGAATGATTGGTTCAATAAATATGTTTGCATTGCATTGAATTGAACGACAGTTGCAACGAAAAAGTGCTGTAAATTTAAATTTGCAAACATTTTATTGGTTTCTCAATACAAGACACGATTAATATCGACTAAACTATAATTATGGTAATTATTGTTAATTGAGGCATTGATTACAACAAAATATAATATATAATTAGCTCAGCAGACATAATATTACTATGTATTGCATAATTTTGTATAATACTTGACGATATAAAGGTTGATGATGGTAAATTCCCGGCACAAACTTTCAATTCTTTAATGCAATTTTTAATTTATGATTAAAATGTGATTAAATGGTTGAGATAGGAGATTGGGGTTGAGGTATTACCCTTTTTTCACCATGCTAATAATAGTATGTAATAGCATTGGTGTGTGAAAGTTAATTGGTTTGTACAATAAGTGCATTTGTTGTACAAGTTTTGTACATTAAATGTATTGTATGCGAAATAATTAGATTTTTATTGAAACCCCATTAAACTAACATAAAAAGTCTTAATCAGACTGTTTAAACATAATTATCTGTGAATTGTATAAAAGTTGTGCACAAATTGTGTGTTTATATCACTAATTATTTGTTCAAACGAAATAAAAACAACTTTTCTCGGAATAAGTATTTCAGTGTAAAAGTTCAGTTTGTCTTTGTTTAGCACTTTATGTAAATTAATATATTTCTAAAAACAGTCTAAAGTATTGATATAATTCACAATAAAATTTAATAGAAATAAGTCTACAGTTATCTAACATTTGATATAAATTCTCAAAATTTTTAGAATTCACTTATAAATAGAAAGTAAATACAATTCAAAAATCGATTTATTTCAGGATTTCTAGGAATTCTGCAAATATTCATGTCTTACAGTAAACTTGATTTTTCGCATGAATTCAATTCACATGGGATTACAACTTATTATTGTCAATACTCTCAACAGTCAATTCAATCACATATACGGTAAACACTAATTATTACCATAATTTAAGAGCATATTGATTATTGCAAATATAGTGGAATATTCAATGCAAGCTTATTATATTAATATATTTTATATTTATATTTACATAAGTATTCAAATTATTTATAATTAAATATTCTTGTATTAATATTAATTGTGTTGTATATAAATTTCTGCAAATAATACGGTATTATTAATACCCTTATTCTCCGTATATGATAGTTGTACAGTAGAACATTTCCTTGAGTTCGAAAAGTTGTATAGTTGTAGTTTTTATAGACTGACAGTAATAAATTATTACTGAAATTTAAAAATTTCATTTTTATAAAATTGTACGGACTTTGCAATGAAAAAACAATTGTATTATTAGATATGAGATTATTCGGGAGTAAAAACCTTCAAATCGGGAATCAAACAGTAAAATTTGGGAATATTCGGGAATTGTATTTTGTATTTTATTAAATAAGAGTTTGTGATTTATGGTAAACATTTGTTTTTATTTATAATCTTTGTAATCTAATACTTTACAACACATAACTAACTCACGTATAGATTACCGTCTGGTCAAATTCCCAAAATATTTGCAACAGTTGAATTCTTTGGGTGAGAATTATATCGGGACCAATAAATAGACACTATAGTTATCATGTTTTGTTGTCTCATAATTATAGTTTTAATTTTATGTCATAGTTTATTAACAATATTTTAAACAATTAATTTTAGCATGATAAAAAAGTCTGGCAATTTTATTATCCACGCGATAATACAACATCAGATTCGTTAGTATAAATAAACAAGAGGTTTAATAATAAAATATATTATATAACAGTATTTTAATCAATAATAATTTTAAAAACTCAAAGTTAATTTAATTAAACAGTTAATACAATTAATGCTAAAGTTTAGGTTTAGGTTTAAGTTGTAGTTGTAATGAACGGTCAATAAATTGGTTGATTTGATGCGCGACAGGAATGGGATCATTCATATGCAAGTGATGCGAGCCATCGATATTAATGTCTTCAAAATAGCGACTATTAGTTCTGTAAATGTCGTAATATTTTTGTTTGATTTCTTCTGGAATATGATATGGGGTTTGATTGGCCATAATTATCATCAAATCGCACTTCAGATGAGCCATGAATTTAGTCATTTGCTCGTCAGTGGGCGGCGGATCAAGTGATGGCACTTTTAGACGAATATCTCTGCTAAAAGTTAGGCCCCATTTCTGTTTAGTGGTTCCTCTTTGCATAAGAATACGAGCGCTGTTCTCATTGAGTGAGTTTCCGTGTCCTTCCATCAGACGCTTGAGGGCATCGGCTTCTGAATAGACGGGCGCTTTGCTATCCTTTGACGGGTCGTTATTCAGGAAATTCTCGTATCGCATGTGAACTTCCGTTATTTTGGACACCTTTTTGGCCCAATTGTCGCCACGATATGTGAGCGGTTTGAATATGTCGATAGTTATGATGCGATCCACAAGTTCTGGATAACTGGCACCAAATAACAGCGCAAAGTGTCCACCTTTTTAAGACAATACATGTGTTAATTACGTAAAATATACATTCATTGCATTGATTAAAAACCTTGCGAGTGACCAATGATCGTGAATTTAGTCCACTTGAGGTGATCGACCACTCGTTTCATTTCGAGAACAGTATTCCAACGGCCGTATTCAGAACCGGGAGGTTTGTGCGATGACAGACCCACTCCCGGCTCGTCTATCGCCACCACATGTAAATCGTGTGGCTTTAGTATGTGTGGAATCAATGGATCAAATGATCCGCAATTATCTAACCTATAAATTGAAAACTTCTCTCAGTTAAGTGATCATATTTTTTTGTTTATCCAAATCATACCATCCATGAACAGCGAGAACTGGTAGACCATTAGGATTACCCCATTCTTTGGCGGCTAAATGTCCATAAGGTAATGGAAATCTCAATTCTTTTGGTTCTATTAGATTGGTTTTATTGTCTGTTTTGTGTGACATTACATTAGAGTACTGTCTTTGTATAGTTTTGGATACTTTGTTGGAATTGATTGCTATAATTGGACTTCTAATGAATGACCGAAATGTCAATAAACCGAATGACATACTATTGGAGACAAAATGGGAAAATAAAACAAAATTAGATAAAACTTTCTAAAACCAGTGTTATTGAGAATATTATCGCTTTTAAAAACATGCATGTATTTTATAATGCAATTATTGTTAACACTATCTCATTATCAAATCCAGTATTTTTTGGTATATTTATTGTAATTCAAGGCAAGAAAGAAGGAATAAAATAGAAGTAATTATTGCAATGAATAGAAAATATCAACAATTTTGTACTACATGTCACTCAATCTTATAAAAGGCAATGAAATTAATTTAAACACACGGTATTTATATTAGATTGCAATCAGAGTTATAAACAAATAATTAACAAAANGAAATGAGAGCCAAATGCGTGGCAATCATTCACTCGTTGTAATCATTACAACGAGTTTTACAAAACCTATTTTTGTTGCAAACAATTTGTCGGCAAATTATTGTATTACTAAACCAGACATTTGTCCGATAAAAACATACAACACACAATTGTAAGTCACTGTATGTTTGATTACAATTGTTTCAATATTACAAAGCCTGTTGGTAATGTTGGCATTTATTTCTAGCATGATCATGGACAATTTAGTCATCATATACAGGTACACATCATTATCGGATGCAATAGCTGTCAAATTCAGTGACAATATAATGAATTGTAGTACAATTATTGTATACTTTTTGTCAATTTTATAGTCATTATAACTGATGTTAAAAGTGAATAATTATATTATATTAGCTATTTATAAATTACAATTTTATTTAATTGTATATTACGTTAAATGTAATACTGTTTACATTTTAAAAAATTACTTATAAATTGCAATCTAGTCTAAAATCATATTTAATTGCATTTTAAATAATAATATTACATTATAGTAAATCAATATTGAATTAAATCAATATTAAATATAATTACAATTAACAGGAAAATAATAGGAAATTATACAAGAAATTGAAAGTAAAATCATTTAACAAACCTTTGATTTGTTTGTTTGAGAGCCGTTTGAATGAAACAAATGTTAAATTATATAAATTGATTAAAATATTGAATTTAACTATTTTTAATTAAATGGTTGTAAATCCCAATTAATTGAAAACTATTTACAATAAATGAATGCATGCATTGATTACATCATACTTTAGGCACATATTGTTGCCCAACATTGTATGAGTATTGCATTTGTGGTCTACTCTGTACTGCGGTCTACAGTGCATCACATCATCCCTACAGCACTGCACAGCGCTATGGATCACATGTTTATGTAATCAGGATTACAGCGGTATGTCATAAAGGAGTGCACAATACATGTACGGCATGTGTAGTACAATGAGTGCATATTTGAGTACATTTTTGGACATTTCATTCACTATTTAATTAATTCACGCATTCATTGTGTTTTAAACTCATTTGAATTTGTAGTGAAACGAGAGGTTGTGTTGATTGAAGTGTCAAATACAGCCCAACCCATCAGTAGTCTAGTATTCATTTATATTCAATTGTGATCCCATTGATTGAATTATGCAAAATCTATGACAATTCAAACCAAATATATATTTCAATTTTAATCTTTAATTTAATTTCTCAGTTAATCGTGTTTTCAATTTTCATTTACTGTAAGTCTTAGATATGTTTCACTGTTTAATGGTTTTGAGGAAATTATATTATGAACTGATGCTTAACTTATCGCTTGCTATCAATGGTTTTTAAGTTTCAAACATCGGTTTAATTTTAGACAATTTCCTCAATTTCTTAACGATTAACGCATTTATTATAATATTATTTCTTTCAAAGTATATATCAATTGATTTAAAGGTTTTACCAGTTTTTATATTTCCTATTAAATCGTAATATTTGTCATTTCAATCATTTTCAGGTATACTTTCATTTGAAGTGTCGATTACTTGAAACCAATTCATAAAATGCCCAAAGAATTCGTTGAAATGAAGATATCTGTTCCCTACGGGTCCATAATGGCTAAGGCTTGGGGCCATCCCACACACCATTCCCATCAAGTATTGGGTATATTATTATAAATATATTGTTGTCACAAGTAATTGAATCTCAATTCACTACGGGTTCAGCCCTTCATGGATGGCAAGACAATGCCGGCACTTTTGACAAACTCATTCCTCTGCTGCCCGACTCTGTCTATGTATTGGGTATGTCTTCACGTGAGTCCCAATTGAACTCATTATAACGTTTAAATTGAATGCCTCTAGCGGTGGACCTTCCGGGACACGGCTTGTCATCACATCTGCCGCCCGGCTGTCCATACCATGACTTAGTATTCCTAATGGAAGTGAAGAGAGTTATCGATCACATGAATTGGGATAAGTTTACAATATTAGGTCATTCGATGGGAGCGGCGATCGGCATGTTTTACGCCTGTCTTTATCCTCAATCAGTGGTCAAAGTGATTGCAATAGATATGATTAAGCCGTTGAGCTTTCCGGCCGAAGAGTTGGCCAAAAGGACCTGCGATGGCATCAATACTTTCTTAGCGTTAGAGCAAAAGATAGCAAATCCTCCGGTTTATGATCATAAGACTACTGTCCAGAAGATGATCGCCGCTCACGCCATATACGGCACACTTTCCGAAGAGGCGGCCGAATGTCTGTTGAAAAGGGGTGCGAAAATGTCTTCGGATGGAAAGGGAGAGTATTTTACTCGCGATAACCGAATCAAAGCCGTACTCTTCCAGCGTATGGATAGTGAGGCGCTCCGCAAATACTTGGAAAGTATTGAATGCGAACTCATTATCATTAAAGCGAAGAATGGTATTGAACTCGACCCCCAAGAAATCAACGACAAGTTTATGGAATTGTATCGCAAAAAGTGCAAAACTTTCAAATTGATTGAAGTGGAGGGACAGCATCACGTCCACCTCACACACCCAACCCATGTTATACAGCATGTTATCAATGAATTCACCGAAAATAATAACACAACGAATGGCCACTGAATTAACTAATTCTGCACCAAATATATTACAATTGTATTATTTGTTGAGATTATGATATTGTAATGAATTTAATTCATAATTTAGGAAATTATTTTATTTTTGCTAAATATTTATACTTTAGTTATATTTTGTCTTTTACTCTGTTTTATTGAAATAAATAGTAAATTGGTTGAAAATGGATATCTTTACCATTATAAATTATTAAAGTTTATTTTTAAACTATAACAAATTACTTATAAGAGTGTCATTTCAGTAATAATGAGTGAAAAGGAGGGCTCCATTAGACAGTGGGCTAAACAGTTATTATAAGTTTTAATTGATTAAAATTTTACTTATAAAATTAAAACTTAATTAAAACTTTGAAGTCATGTTGTTTTTTAGCGTATTGTAATACTGTAGTACCTGTACTGACTGCCAGTATGGGCAACACTGTGCACATACTGTACTTTAAGGGTTTCCATAGAAACTTATGAATTGTGCGAAAAGTAAACACAAAACAAAAGCTAATTATAATTAAATTGATGTTAATATCAATTGTTTAGTATATTATCGTTGAAAGCAATCAAATGTTTAAAAACACATTTCAAAGCGGATTCCTATCCGTGTTGTATAGCATTGGATCAAATCCTCTCCAGATATGGGACAAGAAAGTGAAGAACGGATCCATTAAACGGATTACAGACAACGAAATCCAGAGTTTGGTGATAGAGATCAGTGGCGCGAATGTGTCGACCACTTTCATCACGTGTCCGTCACAGCCGAGGGCCAGTCTGGGCATCAAATTGCCGTTTCTGGTCATTATCGTCAAGAATATGAAGAAATACTTCTCGTTTGAAGTGGAGATCATTGACGACAAACAGATCCGAAGACGATTCCGAGCGTCCAATTATCAGAGCCAGACTCGTGTCAAACACTTCATCTGCACAATGCCTTTACGGCTCGACGAGGGCTGGAATCAGATTGGATTCAATTTAGCCGACTTTACCCGAAGAGCCTACGGAACCAATTATGTCGAGACACAGAGGCTCACCATTAATGCCAACTGTCGGCTCAGACGAGTCTACTTCGCCGATCGGCTCTACAGTGAGGACGAGTTGCCCCCAGAGTTCAAACTCTATCTCCCGATTACTGCCAAAACCTGACCACAACTCACCTCTTAATGATTATATGATTATACTCTCGATGTTTATTGTTTACACACATCTATTCACTGATAAATTATTTATTTTTCGTGTATTTTTTAATTTTTATTAATTATTTTGAATTTAATTTTAAAATAAATTATATTAAAGAATATGTTTTTTATTTAATAATCGATACATAAAATCCTTTCACATAATGTGATGACAAGTTTGGTCTAAGGTTTCCGTTATTTTTTCAGCTAATTTTCGACAAAATTTTTCTTAAATAGTGTTAAATATATGTAAAAAAGTGCAAAATCTTATTGATTCTTGAGTTGATTAGAGAGCCAATCGAGTCCTTCGTAGAGACCATTGCCCGAAGTGGCGCACGTGGCCTGAATATACCAGTTTCGGTTCCGCAACGAATGCAATCCCAACTTATCGGTGATTTCGGCCGCATTCATGGCATTCGGCAAATCCTAATCACACACACAATCACACCAATCAATCCATTAGTAAAGAGATTAGTCAATCAAATGTTCAAAATATGCGAACGAATGAACACCTGTTTGTTGGCAAATATGAGGAGAACGGCATCCCTGAGCTCGTCCTCGGCCAACATCCTCATCAGCTCCTCTCTGGCCTCTCCCACGCGTTCCCTATCGTTGGAGTCGACAACGAATATCAATCCCTGTGTGTTCTGGAAGTAGTGCCTCCAAAGCGGACGGATCTTGTCCTGACCGCCGACGTCCCACACCGTGAATGAGATGTTCTTGTATTCAACGGTTTCCACATTAAACCCTGTCCAACAATGTGGTGGTAAAGGTATAGGTATGTAATGATGACAAGTAATGAGTGCAATGGTTACCAATGGTGGGAATAGTGGTGACAATCTCTCCCAACTTGAGCTTATAGAGAATGGTGGTCTTTCCGGCCGCGTCCAACCCCACCATCAAAATCCTCACCTGTTTTTTGCCAAACATTCGCGTGAATAGACTGGAAATGGTTAGACCCATAGCTATAGGTGTTCTTCAACGGCTTCTTCAACGGGTTGTCAACGGATTGGTCACAAACCGAGTGATCACTCAATCAATACAATATTTGCTGACGTTTTGCACAAACAATGATTGCCCAACACTTGTGTGTTGTATGTGTTGTTCACCAATACATCAAACACTACACACATTACGTCCCATATATTGCTTGCAATTCACAACTTATCAAACACTCAAACTTATTCTCGTTTTGCTTTACAATCCTATCTTCAGTTTAACCTTTCCTTCAATCGTTGGTGTATTGAATGGACACCTCTTGTGACCACTTATCACACCATACGATATGATTAAAGCATATAAACTATAATTTCCTTAATTATGTTTAATTAGACATGTGTTTCATTTAGTGTAAGTCACTTATAAAAGTAACAATGATGTTACAATCGGTATTAAATGTGGGTTAGTGTATTTGTTTGATCAATGTTAAATACCATATAATTTAGTAATTGCCCTGTATATTTATAATAGCAATTTGAGCTTGGTTCTATAGAGTACGGATAATTTAAATTACATTAATGGAACAATTAATGGAAACATATAAAAACAAACTTTATTAACCTAAATAGGCAAACAAGTTCTATCAATATTTAAACAACTTTAATCAATGAAAACATCGTGATATAAATTGTGGAAAATTTAGATAAGTTTTATTTGTTTAATGATTTAAAGTTACAAACAATATTAGGGTAACAAAATCCAAATTTTATTATGTATATTTTAAATTATAATAATTATTATAAATCCAATTGGGATTAAAATGAATTATTAATAAATGGATTAAATACCAAATAATAATATCAATACTTATGTTGCGATATACAGTACAGTATAGTTTAAGCATTTTTCGAATTTAATTTTTTATAGTTTTGTCAATCGTTTGATTAAACGAGTTGTTAGAAGAATTTGTGTAGAATTGTATAGAGTTTGCAGTGTTTTGATCATATCTTAATAGAATTCTGGGCTGAATATTGAGCTGAAAAGCGATTGCATTGACTGTTGTCTGTGAGAGACCATAGCATAAGAATCGGCCAAAAGTGGCACAATTTAGCGATTCATCAAATCTTAAAATCTCTGTCAAAGCCATTATGTAATTGCGGGCCAAACGCAGGGTTTCTATTTTGGATAACTTTTGAGTCCTTTCTATATGTTATTCAACAAATTAATTAATTAATAAAAATGAATAAATTATCAAAAATATACAAAACACAGCTTTATTTGTTTGAAAGCTACGAAAAATAAATAAAATTTGCAATTTATTTTAAAAGTTAAATTGTTTGAAATATTGCTCCAATAAAACGATTGGTAATTTTATCACGATTGGTAATCACAGATGTTATATTATTATTAAATAATTAATTCATATTTATTGTATATTATCAAATCTTTTAAATATACAGGTATTACACAACAGCACATGTATTATTGCAATTCATGTGATATTATTTAAATTGATCAAGGAAGTGTTATTCATTTTGAATCAGTAAACTGTACTGTATTTCACTAAAATAGATAACTTTTTGTATAATTGATTGTTTATTAATTCAAAGAAAGGTTATTTCTCTTGTGAGAGAATGAGTTAATGACTTTTTATATAATATCAAAACTTTTAACAACTTCATAGTAAATGTCATTTACTTTATTACAATTACTTACAATTCTCTTAACGTGAATGTCCTAATACTGTTTGTAACAATGTTTTATTAAAGTCAAATTCAATATATAACTGTAAGTTATATTTTACTGAGTTATGTAACATTCAAATAACTTATATAAATGAAATCATTAAATCTAATGATTGATACCTGGATTAGATCCGATTGTGATGCTGTCGATGGGAACACAATTTCTAAGCCTATCTAAAGCTGCATTCAAGCCATGCATACGATTGCGTTCTCTGGCATTGGCTTTGAATCTTCTATTGAAGATTTTGGATCCGTTAAACTTATTACCAATTTTAGTGATTGACATCTCGTTTATTGAATTTTCGGTTAAAAACTGTTGACGTCTGAAAACCATTGTATAGCTTTCGCTCAATATATTGCTTATTAAAAAATATGTAACTAGTATTTTGCATCAATTCAATACATGTTAGACTTATATTGCATTAGAAATGTCAAACTGACGGGTCATTTAGTAACGCAAGACTACAATCCCTACTAATAATTAGAGTGAAGTGTTTGGCAAATATAGTTTTTTTTGCATCTGATAAACATTTATTAAAATTAGCATAACTTGTGTGCAATAAATTTGATATTAAACCAAATATATAATAAATTGAGAATCATTTGTGAGATTTAATTATACAATGTATGCATTATTTCATTGATTTGTGCTAAATTTAAGTTTCCTAAACTTTAATAAATAATTTTTCTAGTTATTATTTATCCAAACCAATAGATGCAGGCATACACTGTAACAACTAATATGACTTAATTTTTAAACAACTATTGTCATGTCATTAACTGATCATGGTAAGGTCAACAATACTTATAGGACTGCTAGGCATATAAAGTTAATTGGTGGTTATAATAACCTAATTACAAATATAAAAAGTACTGTTATATAAGCATTTAAGTACAATATGTATCAATATTAATATTTACTTTTGATGTTTCTATTTTGTTAAAGAAAAGTCATGCAAACAACTAAAAAAATTGATTACAAAACTTAAATGTATTTATTTTATTCTCTAATACGACGATAGAAGATATACTGTATTAATGATTGACATGTATTAACCAGTTATGAGTTGCCATTATACAAATTATAGCATAAAATGGCACTATTATATCATATGTTCAATATTACTACCATTAAGAATGTCTTATTTACATCAATTCTGTAATTTAATAATATGTTATAATTTAGTTGTCTATCAAATGTAAATATTTGTATATTATGTTATTACTACAAAAATACAAGTTTTAAATCAAGAATTTTTGAAAATTACACCAAAACAGAAGATTACATGATTGTTAAGTGAGTTTTTAAATTGAAATTATAAGTTTCTTCACTCATGTCTTTAACTGGTATTAAATGGTATTAAATTACTGTTAATTAAAATAATAGATAATATAAACGAACATTTAATGTGTTTTCTTAAGATAACAATTACTTGAAACTAAGA